ACGGTCATAAAAGACAGACGACAACTTAGTCCAAGTAGCTTTCCATATATACGAATCCTATGGAAACAGATTCCATGCATTTAGGTCTTCTACCAATAATATTAACTCCTGAGAAATAGGTTATCTGGCCTCTCTGCCTAAAAAGTCAGCATACAAAAGTACTAGAATGCATACTCGGACATCATCGACGTCATTCATATGAGTAAAACCATCTTTCTTATTAAACAATTTCTTCAAGTCTTCGACGTATAAGTTCGACTTCTCTATTGACTCATCAGGAAAAACCCGGGATAACCATGATGGGCAGGTGATATAACGAGTGTACCGGCCTACATCATCGTGTCCGAATCGTAGATCAGTGATTAAGCAGAACTCTTACCGCCCAAAATAAATATACGCCGGTGGAAAATGAAACCATATATCTTCCTCACCACGTTGTATATTGTCGGGTATATCACTAATCATGGTCTAAAGCCACAAATAAGTCAAATTAGCATCTACACCCGGATACTGTATTCTCACCATTGGCCCGAAGCAGATTTTCTCAAACAATTTTCCTTGTCCAGGTGAAAGCTTCGAAGTAATTGTAATGGCTAGACTAACTTTATTCCTTAATGTCAATAAAGCCGAAAAAATTCTACAAAAACAATAAACATATCAAGTTAGATATACCAAAAATTACACTGTGAAGATATACCAAAAACAATAAACATAAATAGTAATAGTTTATTCTTGAAACTAAAATTTGCAACACTGTTTTGTCTTTTGGTTGAAATGAAAATCGCAACGCGAAAATGACTATCGCAACGCGATATGAAAATCGCAACGAGAAATTAAAATCGTAACGAGATAATCGCAACGCGAAATGAAAATCACAATGCGATTTTAGTTTCGCGTTGCGATTATCTCGTTGCAATTTTCATTTCGCGTTGCGATTCTCTCGTTGCGATTTTCATTTCTCTCATTGCGATAGTCATTTTCGTGTTGCGATTTTAAGTTTAAAAACTATTCTTCTTCTGCAAATTGAAACTTTAATTGATTGCATTACTTCAACCAAAATACAACAAAGACATATTAACTTCACAGGGTTAAAGACTAAACAGTTTAGCAGTATTGGCAGCAATCGAATGAATTTAATAAGAAAACTAAGTGAAATGGTTAATCTATTATTGAAATTATCAGTAAACTTATCATCAATTTCAATATAAAAAACCTAAAATAATTCAAAATTTTCAAAATAAAAATAATTAAAAAAACTAACCATCGGAGGTTGATTTTCCATTTCTGAATGATTGTGAGGGATTTCTGACCGTGAATGGTTATGAGGTATTTCGCCAGATATGGAGACAAATCTTCAGAGATGGAGACGAATTTCGCCGTAGAGAGTGAGAGATTGAGATGTGACTGAATTGTGATTTTAGGTTTTAGGTTATAAGTTACGATTACGGGATATACTGTGGACGGTTCAGTGTTCCGATAATTAATATTCGTGTTTGGAATTTGAAAATAAAATACGCATAACGATTCTAATGGCGCTTTAAAAATCGCGTTGCGATTTACGAATACGCGTTGCGATTTTACGTGTTGTCATTGCGATTTACGAATACGCATTGCGATTTATGTATTCTCGTTGTGATTTACAGATACGCGTTGTGATTTACGTATTCTCGTTGCGATTTACGGATACGCGTTGCGATTTTACGTATTATCGCTGCAATTTACGGATACGTGTTGCGATTTTACGGATACTCGTTGCGATAGTCAAAATCGCGTTGCGATTTATATGTTCGCGTTGCGATTTTCATATTCGCGTTGCGATTCTGTAAAGTCGCAATGCTAATTTGTACTATCGCATTGCGATTCTGGGAAACTGATTTGCGATTTTGGAGATCGCGTTGCGATTTTTATTTCGCATTGCGATTTTGTTGGTCATTTTGGCAAATCCAAAAAAAGTTGATTAAAATCGTATATTATAAGGCATTTTTGGCCACTGAGACGATTTTCTCATATAAAAATAAGGCATCAATGACTAAATTGTAAAAACACGACAAAGGCCTAGTGGCTTGAGCCTGAATATCCCACAAAACTTAGGTATAAATCATACTTTTCTTTTTTTAGCCATTTCAAACCCTAACCTTAAAAAAAGCTTCAACTGCTTCTATTTTCTCTCCCATCAACCGCTCGCCAAACCTCTCACCCTAGCTTAGGCGATCATACATCGCGCCATGTTCATCATCCGACCACCACCTATGTGGCCAAGAAAGTTGAAACTTTCCCAAATGAACCCATACGACCTAAGAAACCCATTTATTTCCTCTCTAAACCCAAACCAACCACCTAGAGAACCAAAAACAACTTCTAACCCTTGAAAATGAAAATCAACTCTTCAATTTCTAACCCCGATCACCGTCTATGGCTGAGCAAGCCAAACAACTTTCAAATAATCCCTCAACACTCCGATTTACCCTAGTCCCCAGATCGAGGCTTAAAATCCACATATGCAAAGACTTAAAGACCACAAGAGTCCCTTGACTCTTCGACCTCCCTCGTCGTCAACTTAAACCCGACGACAAACTCGAACCAAACAAGTAAATGTTTGATCCCCTTATTTTTATTATTCGAAAAATAAAAACTGATTCTAAAATGAAAAGAAAAAGAAACCTTAAAGAAATGCTTTCTTGTTGTATTACTTCTGGTTGTTTCGAATAAAGTGGGGGAAAAGTCCAACATAATTTTGGAGAGGGTTTTATATAACCACTCCTCTAATTTGTACAAATGCAAAACCTACTTGCTTTCTAACATTCATCACTTGTCTGTGAATGATGATTGGTTAGGCTCGTACGGGCAGACCGACCACGCATGGGTTACCTTGCTTGGGTAAAAGAAGCATTAAATGCCTCGAATTTGGCAAGATCTAATTCCATGGCTTTAGCTTGACGGTATCTTCGACAATCGACACGACTAGGCGGTGATAAGATATTGGAAACAACGGTGACAAAAGTTGATAGCCAGGAGAATGTTATATTATGGCTTCAAAACCCTAGCTAAGCATTAATCTAGACCGTCAAATGGTCCATATCTAACTATCCACATTAAACGACGACTAAAGCTAAAGGTGAAACCCTAATTAATGATCAATTTAGACCGTTTGATGAAGATTTGGACTTTACGAGTAACATAAAACGACTGTTGAAACAAAGTACAAAACCCTAATGCAAGTGGGCCTCCTCCCGTGGGCTTTGGTTACTTGGCACTCTAATACAATATTTGAACTTATTTTGTGCATGTTAAATAAATACATTTAATAATAATATTTTTACTTATTTATGATCATAATAATAATAATTAAAAGGGTCGAGTAAAAGTATGGCTATTGCAATCAAGATGATAACAATGTTTCATTTAATAAATAAACGAACATAAACGAACAAATTTTTTTTGTTCATGTTCGTTTATTAAGGAATATAGTTTGATCATATTCATTCATGTTCGTTCATTTAAATGATAAACAAACATAAACGAACGTAAAGAAACACAAACAAACGTAAAGAAACACAAACGAACGAACATAAACGAACATAAAAAAACAACACAAACACTCGAATACAACAAAAACATACATAAATCATAAGTTATATTAACATAATAGAATCTTAAAGTTAATTTGTTCAACAAAACAATCTTCTTGAAATCCAAACAATTTCAATAATCTTCGTAGCATATTCAACTTGCCCTCTATTTGAACATAAATGAACGAACATGAATAAACATAAACGAACATATAATCAAACGTTCATAAACGTAAATGAACGAACGAGCCCTTTGTTCGTATTCGTTCATTTAATTAGACGAACGCAAAATCTTTTTCATGTTTGTTCATTTAATAAATAAACAAACATAAACGAACTTCCCGCCGCACAGTTTATGAACGGTTCACTAAACGTTCAATTCATTTACAGGCCTACATACAATCTATTTACGCAAATCTAATTGCATCACCTCAGCAAATCCCAATTTCAATGATTTTTTTTAGAACAATTTGGTATGACAATTTGGACAAGTAACTTCAAATGATGATGCATGCTTATTTGGGTTTGACCCATCTAATTATTATTTTATTTATTTTTCTAAAAAATTATTTTTTCCTTGAACCGACTGCCTTTCATCACTTATCAAATAATGCGTTTTACTTTATTTCCATGGAGTGTTATTATTTTTAGAAATATACATTCACTGCCCTATGTTACAAACGTAATTAACCGTCCATTTTAACCATTTTTCCATTTCTTTTCACCCTACATTACATAACTATTCAGACATTTCTTCTCTACATCAAATATCATACCAAGTGCAAAAAAAAAAAGACTTCTAAAACAGCGTCAATCAATAAAAAAAATTGCAGTAAGAGCAATCACAAACAAGCATTATTTGAAAGTTTACCTGTGACTACAACTAAAAAGTTTACCTGTGACAAATTATCAGCTTAAGCACCATTCACCTCGAGCAAAGTAGCTTATCCTGCATATAAATCACATCCACATACATCTTCCTAATACTTAATTATGCTATTAATACCCTGACTCTTCAAACAAAAATGATCAACCTCCTTCAACTTCACTGGATAAATGGTGTCTAAGGCTAATGGCAATATTTATAATACTTCCTCATGATAAATGAGATATTATGCTTTCCTACATTTCTTCTTTCCTGGATCGGGATTATCTTCTAATGTGATGTAGTTAGATTGCTTTAAATACTCCCTAATATGTTAAAAGCATGGCAATCGTTTTTGCAGTTGACACGAACAGATAGGGCCTATGGCTATGGAAACAGTTCTACAATTTTCATGTAGAGAATGAAAATGGAATGATCTTATGCATCTTTGAATAGAACTAGTGCCATGAAATGAAACTGAGGATCATCTTTGAATGTCATGTTAGTACTGTAATGTGCATGACTGCATGCTGTGTGATGCAGTTTAACCTAATATAAAACAACAGTAGTCCAACACCATGGTTTGGTTAATGTTCAACATGAGGTGGAATAACACACAAATTAACCAAAACTGTAGACAATGCGCTACTTCTACAAATAACATATTTATCTTAACCTTTAAAGTTAAGCTGGCATAAAATATGCTGCAGATAAATGCATGTCTTAGGTAATATGATATAACTTGAGCAAATGTTGCACTTCATGATACCACCATGCAAATTCAAACACACGAGAAGAGATGCTAATGCTGATGTTGATGATGAAATGGATGCATCCTAGCATATATTGTCGGACAACAGAAAACAGAGAAAATCCCCATGATCTACTGGTAAGTAATAGCTGGTGGGGGCCCATTTGCACTGGGGGAAGCAACAAGATGACCGGAATCCTTCCTTTTACCAAAAGGATTCTTTGAATATCTATTAAAAAGTCAAGAAAGAAAACAATGTTCACAGAAGCATTTATAATAAAGTTATTGATTCATGTAAAGCTAATAACATAACCAAAAAAAAAAAAGCAGAGCCAGGTGGGAGTAGTGAGTGCAATTAAGTCCCCTCGGCTTTTCCCATATTAAAATGTTCTGCATTCTTGAGAACTTGCTAAAATAAAATTAGAAAGATAAAAACTATCAAGACTAGAAAGAAACATAAAAACTATAAAGGTTTTCTCAGTTTCCAAAGTTCAGAATTGCAACTCACCCACCCACCCACACAATAAAGAAAGAAACTTCGTTTTTCCCCTCCAAACCCTAGCGCAGTCCCAGGCTACAGAGAAATTAAAGAATCTTACCCCACCCCTATGCTAAGATCAAGAAGCAAGAAGAGGTGACAATTAGGTAGAAAACCTGTCAGAACTATAACATACAAGAAGAATCAAGACTCAAACCCATGAAACAGCACATGAATAAAACACCAACCATATGCAACAGTTGACATAACAATCGAAAGAAGAAAACAAGAACACTTAACACAGTAAAGCGACAACAAAATACAAAAAGGATACTGTATTCGCATGCCAACAGAACCAGAACTGGGGATCACAGCACCCTGTAAATTGTGGTGCACATTGGTTGCAGTACTCACATCCTGCAAGTTGGTGAAAAAACTCTTAGGCGTATGAAAATAAAAACCAAGAAAGTTTCATCCCGTGGATAACTGTTTGCATCCAAGTAGATAAAGAAGAAACTTACTTCAAACTCTATAAAGCAAACAGTATGCCTCTCTTGTTTCAAGATCTTCATTTGCTTAAAACCAAGTTGACTGCATGTAAAGCAAAAAAACGAAATAAATAAAAGCTGTAATCAACAAACATCCCAAAACTCAAATAAGAAATAAAACAAATTGGAAACTAGCCGGTGGCTAACTCATTCTTACGCGCTGAATAGGCCCCTTAATTCTTCCTCGTTAATGTTCTCTCCAAGATTGCCAATAAATAAGGTATTGCAAGGTGGGTTATCTTTGGTATTCTGCCAATAAAAATATCATTAAAAGTAAATGGAAAACCTCTGAAACTTATTAGGCTACTGGATGTACAATAATAGAGAAAGAAAAACAAATCATCATCACAAGTCAATCTCTATAAAAAAAATAAACTGGTTATAGCAAGGAACAGAAACTTGAGAGAATCAAAGAGCCAAAAGAAAATGTCCTCTTCTAGTAAATACAACTCTAATATAGAATCGCACGAACTAAGTGACCTCTGTGGTAAAGGAATTGTTGTTATTCCTTAAGGACTCGGGTTCGAGCACCATAGATGTCAGGTGTGTGAGCGCTCAATTTCAAAAGGTTGAGAGTTAACTTTGAACAAATACTGCCTTGTAATTACCCCAGATTAATATATATATAAAAACTCTAACATAGAATCAAAAGCTATAGTAGCCAAGGTAATTGCTTAAGTTCACCTCACGCATGTTACTCCCTTAGAAATTCTCTATAGAAAATTGCAGAGGGATGTGCTCCCCATCTTTCCCAGCTAAAACATCAGAAATGGAAGGTTGCAAGGTAAGGGCATCAAATTCATGGCTATGAAAGAGGAAAGACTTTCAGGTTAGAAGAAGTTCCAAAAGGAAGCTAGCACACAGTATTTGAAGAAACTCATTCATCCTTGTTTGTCAAAAACCAATGAATAAAAAATTTAAACCTTGCAAAATGCTAAGCTTACAACCCTAGAAAATATCTTAGATGAAAAAATATTCCTTAGTCTATCATCAAAGCATATTATGTAATGATGATAGAATGATAAAAGAGTTATATTCAAAAGAATGATATTTAAAAAACACACATGCATGCGCATAATGGAAAGATAAAAAGAACACAGAGAAAGTATTGTACTCATTTGTACCTGGACATGTTACATGTATAACATACCAAACAAACATGTGAAAATCTTAACCACAGATGACTACAGGACAAGGACAAAAGTATAATCACCCTAAACAAGGAAAGTCTAACTTTACAACTGCTATAAATTCACAAAGAGAACAAGTTAGATAAAAGTATTTTTGACGATTTTAAGTGTTCGTTTGATACATAATAATCTGCAATGGTTAAAATTATATATATATATATTTTATAAGAATTTCAGGCCTCATTAAAAACCCCCTTCTTGATTAATGGAGCTTTTAGGAAAGCTCCTTAATCAGAGGAAGGAGGAAAAGAGTGCCTTAGTATTTTATTAATCATACATAATAATCATAGGCAAATTATATATATATATATATAAGTAGTTTTCATTTACTTCCAGAAAATACAACACATGATGGATGTTGCATCTAAGTTTCTCAGGAATAATGAACAGCATCCTCATAAGATGCTGACAAAATAACACTGTTTATTGATAACTATCCAAAAAACATTGGACTTGGTCATGTCTCCAGTGTACAGAAAGGCAAGTTTTTATCAGAAGTTCATTGCAATCAAGGTATATCATACTAAAGTTAATCGTTATTAAATAGTCTTAATAACCCACAATTTAAATAATTTAGAGGGGAAAATTTGCTAAAACAAACTGATACAAAATCTAAACAAGAAGAGAAAATGGCATGTTAGATATAGAAATTACCTGAACTGGCACATAACTGCTTGGAGCTGGTACGGGAGCCGGAGTTGGTATTGGAACTGGAGCAACAGGATAACATCCATATGGATTATATGGAGGAGGAGGAGTTGGAGCCATATACCTATAAATAAAACTCAACTTTAACAAGAAACAATGTAAATATAACTGAAATTTTATACTACCAGGCAGACTTGATAGTAGCAGTATACAACCCACATCCTGGCGTAACTTCTTACCCATGTGGTCCCCAAACAGGTGAAGGAGCATGAAATGGAGGTGGAGTTGAAAAAGGACTGGGGGAATAATTGCCACCAGTTCTCAATCGTTTGTTTTGATCATATGCATCAGAATCTGTTACTATTCCTGTAGAATAAATATCACAAAACAAAAATAGGCTCTTGATCATGGAAGAACTTACATTTTACTTTTATCACAAAATCATATCACTATGTTTCTCTCCCTCCTCGCCCACTTACAACTCCCACAGACCCACTCAAATCATTACAACCACAAAAAGTGGTGCATAACCAAAAGACTTGATTGTGTCCTAAAGGCAACCCAAGGTAGAAGGATGTTCCATGATTTATACTTAGCATTCGAAAATATGAACAATTCACAAGAAATTGGAATCAAATAATTATTTAGTAGTCAACAAGCATTGGGAACTTATGGTACTTCAGAAAAAAAAGGAAAAAGGAACCATTCATGTTCATCAAGATAATAAGCTGGAATCCTGGAACAGTCAACTGAGGATCATATTCCAGAGGGTATAAATCAACTTAGAAGAAGATACTATAACTCTTCAATTGAAACTTCAAATTGTACCTACCTAAATAAATAAAACTAAATTTCAAGAAGAAAAAGAAAAAGCCCATTGAAAATTTAGACTAAACTGAAGAACTACTATTTGATCCAAAAGTTACAAAATTTGAGCTCTTTTTTGTCAAAACTCACGATATCACTATGTTTGTATTGCCATATGTGAAACACAGAAAAGAGGACAGGAATGGAAAACAAGACACATTTTATCAATTGCCACATTAGCTTATCTAAATGGAAGTTTTCCAACTTCTGAATTAATGTTTCCAAAAGGGGTTGGATGCCTCGAAACAAATATTCCACTTTGTTGAAGCCTCTATTCGATGAATAAGCTACAAAGAAATCACATATGATCATTACATCATAATGCCAAATTGCCAACAAATATCATTGTTAGTTCACTTCCTTTTTAACTTTCTTGCTTCTCATTATAGTATGGAATTTAATACTCCAGATTACATATATTGGTATAATACCAAGAGTAGACATCTAAAATTGTGATTTCATGCAAAGCTATAGACAATATTTCAGCCACATTCAACCAAAATTTAGCTGCTAAATATTTCTTTTCACAGTACTCATGTACTTAGAACAATCATATAATTGTCTTTCAAACATCATGATCATTTCTAACCAGATTATGCTAATTTATTTCCAGTTTACACACTGTCTGTCTGTGCATTTATTTATAACAATGCAAAGTCTTTTTCACTCTGGCATTGAACAAAGTGTTAAAATGAAAACATACCTCTTTTAACAAATAGATTTTTCTTAGCCATCTCTATGTGCAAAAGGGACTTTGACTCGGCATCAAAAACCATTTCCTAGCACACATCCGAATTAAACGCAGTCAGTGCTTTGAAAAAGAGTGAGATACCTCTGATGAGTAAAATAAAAAATGTCAAATAAATAAATCTATAATACCTGAAGGGCATCCTTAGCAGCAACTGCAAATCGTGCATTTGAAAAGAGAGCAAAACCCATAGGCTTTTCTCCCTTGTAGTTCACTTGCGAAGCTTCATAACCTGGAAGCCATCTCAGTAAATTCTGCAGCTCTCTCTCTTTGACATCTTCAGGAAGACCGGTAATAAAGATAGTCCGAACCTAAATCCAGCACAAATATTTCCATTAATTTTATATACCCAAGGAAAATCCGAAGACTTTAATACTTCAGCTTATTTAATAAAAAAAAAAAAGCAAAGGACACGTCAAAACAGGAACAAGTAACTAAACTGCCGTAATATACACTCAAATCATGAAATATATGCTGTCAGTTATTAAATTATTTTAACTGATTCTTATTTTTGGGAAAGAAAAACAAGTGCAAAATGAAATTCGAATATCTATATTTATCTATAAACAAATACTAACATGGAGCGAATCAATGGACTAAACAAAGCTAAGCCGGAGAAAAGAACTAGTATATTAGTTATTTATGCTGAAATCTCAAACATAGAACATTAGGGTTCGGTTACCATCAAACATGCAATTCATGTGAAAGCTAAGGCTTGAAAAGGAAAAATAGATGGAACTGGAGTAAATAGAGTGAGAGAGAGAGAGAGAGAGAGAGTTTACCTCATCAAGAGACGGAGCAGGTGGAGGAGGATGGTGAACAGGAGGAGCCGGCGGAGGCACGGCCGAAGCAGTGGCCGGTGGTGGAGGAGGAGCTTGGACCGGAGGCCATTGCTGGTGATAAGGATGGATTCCGGCACCCGCCATGTGAAGGGCTGAATAGAATGTAGACTCCTGAAACCCTAAACCAAGACTCGAGGACGGAGAGAGGAAGAACTGATGATTCATATAATTAATAAAATATTAGGTCAACTTTTCTTTCCTTAGAAAAGTAAACCCTTTATAGCTTTTTTTTTTCAAGGAAAAAGTTAAAGACTATTCGTTGGATTTTAATTTTTTATTTATGGCAAACTAAATTGGATTTAATATTTTTTTGACTTTATTAAGATTATAATTGATTATATTATTATTGAGATTTTTATTTAATAGAATTTTTTTAATTAAATGAAAATCTATATATAATATTAGAAAATATATAAATTTATACCATTAACTAAATTTATTTATAATTTTATATATATAATTTTGAATTAATACGTTGGGCATACCTTGACGTTAATTGTGTTGATGTGAATTTTGATTTGAAAAAAGCATTGTTTTGAAAATCGGACCGAATCGGCCGGTTCAACCGGTTCAACATCGGGAACCGTTGTCTAGTCAGGTTCAAACTAAATCGGTTGAATCGCTATTAGTGAATCGGCCGGAACCGTTGAACCGTTCGAACCGGACCGGCTGAAAACCGGAAAAAATCGGGAAAAACCGAAAAAAACCGCCAATTTTGTTTTTTTTTAAATAAAATTAAACCAAACGACGTCGTTTGTTAAACGAGCCAAGTCAAACTTGAGTATTGCTGAGCTCGACTCAAACTTTAAAAGTAAGCTCAACTCGACTCAAGCTCACGAATTAAAAATTATCAAATTCAACTCGAACTCGAAATATAATATTGAAACTTGAACTCGAAAAGGCTTGAACTCAAAAAAAAAATTAGAAGCTCGATTGAAGCATAAAATTCGAGCTTGATTGAAGTGAAAAAATAGTTCACTCTATGCTCACCAAAAGGCTCCATGATTTTGAATGTCAAATTACCTCTATTATTTATAGAAGTTAGTTGTGATGCTCTTCTATGTTTCTTAGTCATGTGAGATTGTTTTGTTCTCATATTTTTACTCTTTAGACTTTTGGGATGTTATTCTATGTTTCTTAGCCATGTAATATTGTTTTTTTTTTAAAAAATTAAACCAAACAATATCATTTTGTTATGATTTTTTTAGCCCCAAATTTATTTTTTAATTATAGTTATATAATTATATTTATTATTTAATATGTTTTATCTTAAATATTATATTGTAGTTAATTTGAATCATTTTGTTTCACTTGATTTTATGGTTTTTAACTCATATATGTTATGATTTGCTTTGAATATGACTTGTGATATACAAAATTATTTTTTATTAAATATTTTTGGTATTTTTTTATTTTTTAAATAATTATGATGTCGTCCGGTTCTTCCGACCGGTCATACCAGTTCGACCGGTTGAACCAGTGAACCGATAACATGACCGGTTCGCTAACCGATCCGGTTATGAAAGCCATGGGCAAAGGTATAGATAATTATGTGAAATTTGAAAATTTGAAAGATTTTTAATTTATAATTAATTTGACTAAAAAATAAGAATAAGTGGGGAAGGTTGATGACTCATTTGTCTTATAAATATTATTTGTGGATAAGCTTGAAAGATGAAATCAACTCTTCAATCATCTTTTTTTTTTCTTAATCTTATATTACATTTTCCCTTCATTATTTTTTCTTGAATATTTAACGTTTGTTTTATATACTTGTATTATGCAATAATTTTGATTGTTTGATTATGTTCCATAAACTTGATAAGTTTTCAAGAGAAATAAGAAAATGATCAAATGGAAAGTTATGAAGCAATTTCTTTAGCTAGAAGAATTCGATATTTTTTTAGTATTGAATGAAAAATTGATCCAAGCGTTATTGAAGAAAACGTTAAATTAATTATTGGTTTGTAAATGTATAGACGTGCATGACGTGGGTAACGTGAATATCCAAATCGGTCGAACCCTTCGTGGACTTGTAGATATTTAAACTCAAATTTATTTATTTTTTAAAATAGAGCATATCTTTTTAAAATTCTGTTTTGAAGTTAAAAGGATAAAGGTTCCTTTAATCAATACAATAATTTTGAAAATTTGTTTGATTCTCATTAATTAAATGCTTTATTAAGTCAAAAATTTTCAATAGTTCACAATGTGAACCCCCATAAATATCGTGCAAACTTACTAGTTTGAAACACAACTAAAAAACAATTCAAACCAATTCTTTTATTCTCCTCTAGTTTTCGGTGATATACGAAGATAAAAAATAGTTTGTGATCTATGTGGCAATGTAAGTGTAGTTGATCATCTAGTTGTTTTATCTTAGAAGACCGACGACCAATGATATCAAGCACCATAGAAGAGGTTGCATAACTATAGGCCTTAACTCGTGTCTATTTGTTTAACCTATCAGAGATTGTGTATTTATTTATATACTATTCTTTCAAATATTTAAATATATTTTTTGATTTTTTATCGTCTCAAATTGTTATATTTCTAATAATCTTAAGACAAATTCTATCTTCTGCCATTCTTTAATCCAAGACAATTCAAAAATCTTGGTAAAATTGAGAAAGCAAATAAATTCATTTTTGGGATTTATCCTGTCGTTTTAGTCTCAAAGTGGACAAATTTATATAACAGATATTATCGTTAAAGTAACATTGGTTATTAATTTTGTTTTAGAATATTGATTCTGTTCGGTAACAAAATAAAAAAAATGTGATTCTTTGGCTATGAATTTTTTTTCTCATGCATGGTTGTTTCTTATAAACGTGAAGTAGTTAAAGAATTAATGTGATACTTTCTATATTATGGTATTATTCAGTAATATCATTATGATAAGATTTCACCCATAAAAATGCATCATGGTATTGTTCATTAAATTAAGGTTAGGATATTATTACCTGAAAATTATTTTGGCCTTTTAATATAGAATATTAAATATATCATGAATAAAGAATATATTTGATATTTATAGTAATTATTAAATATTATAATAATCATTGATTTCGTTTTAGAATCACTATGAATTTATTCTTGTACTAATAATTTCTTTTGAGAAATTTTGTAGATACAAACAAAATAAAAGTTTAATCAAAATCTTTTGATTATTGGGTTGTCAAAAGTAAAATGAAAGGATTGGTTCCTTTTGATTATTGGGTTGCTAAAATTAAAATAAAATGATTAGTTGTTTTTTATTATGGGGTTCTTAAAATTAAAATCAAATGATTAGTTCCTTTCGATTATTGAGTCATTAAAATTAAAGGATTAATTCATTTTGATTTCTATTTGTTAAATAGAATGGAGTTGTCATGATACATCTATTTTGGATTTTTAGTGCTACTAATCTTGTTGTTTAACAGAAGATATAACCTTAAAAAAGGGAGAAAAAATCACTGATTTATTTCATCGTTAGAATCTTGCTTTGATTCTAATTTTGTAAGAAAAATAAATAGTTAAATTTATTTTATTAAGAATCTTGACTTATTTTATCTTTTAAAAGGAAATAAATTATCAAATTTATTTTCTTGAGAATCTTGAATGATTCTATCTTTTAAAAGGAAATAAATTGTTAAACTTATTTTCTTGGCAATCTTGAATAAAGAAATAAATTATTGAATTTACTTTTTGGAAATATTTAATGATTGTATCTTTTAAAAGAAAATAAATTGTTTAATTTATTTTTTTAGAATCTTGAATGATTCTATTTTGAAAAAAATAAATAAAATTTTAAATTTATTTCTTAAGAATCTTTAATGATTTTATCTTTTAAAAAGAAATAAACAATTAAATTTATTTTCTTCATAATCTTCAATTATTCTATTTTATAAAAGAAAATAAATCGTCAAAATTATTTTTTGGAAATTTTGAACAATTCTATTTTGTAAAAGGAAATAAATCATTAATATCTTCTTCAGATCTTATATGATTATGGGTTGTAAAAAGAATTATGGATATTATTGGATCATAATATGAAACGAAAGATAATGACAATAAATAAATTTTAGTGACCTAGGTATTAAATTCATAATGGTAACACAAATGAAGGAGAATAAATATTTTATTACCTTGATTGGTGATAACAAAAAGTTATGTTGTATATATTTGCTAATAGCATAAACGAATCTATAGATTAATTTATTCTCTATAAACTACAAGTTGAGAACAACTCAATAAAAATATTAAGATGGTTAGAAGTGATTATGATAATAAATAAATTCATTTGGTACACAATATGTGTAACACCTCAAATCCCAGGTTAGGAGTTTGGGCTAAACCGTGAGGGCCTTAGATAATTCCACTAGCCTGTAATAAAGCCTTAGTCCAAATGAGTGTGAAAATTGGGCTTGTGTTAGAACTAGAAGATGTAAAAAATCATTTTTAATCTTGGGTCAAAAGAGGAAAGACCAGAAGAGCAATTATACTTTTTTTGAAACAAAGGTTGATTTCCATTAATTTTGGATGATCTCACGTCTAAAAACACTCTTTTTCTTCACTCTTTTGACTCTCCTCCTCTTCTCTTCATCTCTCATTCTCCTTCTCACTCAATCACACACATGTAATATCTTTATTAATCATTCATCCTAATTTTTGGATTTCAAGGTAAGAAATGAAAATTCCATCTCCTAAGCTTTTTTTAAGCTCATCTTCTCATGTTTTGACCATGGAAAACCTTAGGTGGGGTTAAAGAGGGGTTCTAGGTTTGTGGGTTCAATGGTATTCTTAATCCATTTTTAAAGCTTAGGAATCATGTTTCTACCCTACTTAAGTACCTATGTAACACCCATTTCCCGTATATGACCCCGTACATGAGTCGTAGATGTCACATGTCTTTTAAAACGTTTCTATACTTGAAAACCAGTAAAATTTGGTTTCTTTAAATAAAAAGTTTTAATGATAAATATACTTCTTCTACAACATGTGTCAAAACCCACATTAAAACAATACGAACTCTTTTTACACGTATATATGCCAACTAGAAATTTAAAACAACATTAGTATGTCATTACTAATACCAATAGTAATCTCGATGATTGATGCTAAGCTCAACTCCTTACTCCACTCGCTCCTTTTACCTACGCATGAAAATCATCACACGCTAAGTATACACTTAGTGAGGCATAAGAAGAGTAAGTAA